TTCTGACTGTGATAGTTTGCTGGACTGTCTTGGATCAGCTTGAGAGTCGTCAAAGAAGGAATGACACGAATTCTAAACCTTTCAGAGAGATAGTCACCACTCTCGTCCTTTAATGCTGCAAATGGAATTCTGTACAAAGAACGATCTGGAACGATGATTATCTCTGATCCTTCCAAAAATTTAAGCACAGGAGCAATAATCATGTTATACAAATCTTTAAGGGCTGGTGGATCCTCGCGACCTTCTTTCTCGTGCTCGTTAACCTGAGAAGTGGTGGGAGTTTCTTCAACTTGTGTTGGGGATCTTGCCCCAGCACCTTCATCGCAGAGAAACAACGAGCGATCTTCACATCGTTCTCCTTGCAAGAGCAAAAAGTTCCTGTAGGACAGATCCGCCAAAGCCTCCAGCCAGTGTTGAATGGACGAGCCGTGGGGTGTGATGTCTGTCGTAAGACCTTTATTTGGTACAACTTCTACCTTACCAGTCTTTAAAACCCAGCAGAAAAGATTTTCGTGTACAAAACAAAATGACAGACCTGTACAGGATTTCCTTTGGATGACATTACCAAAGTCGATCCATCGATTAGAATTAAAACCAGGTAAATCGTGGCTGGAATATTGCTGTGCCATTAACTCTGCCAGTGATCTGGCACGCGCAAGTTCTGATATGTTCAAGGCCATTGTAACGCATTCCAGTTTCAGCAAGACTACAACCATTAATCGATAAGGACCAGTATTTTCGTCAGCAAACCCTATCTTGTAATATTCGCTCTCTCCAACTGATATTCGCATCTCTTCAAGGCACTTGATGCTTTTTGAGAGATATGACAGNCCATTAATCGATAAGGACCAGTATTTTCGTCAGCAAACCCTATCTTGTAATATTCGCTCTCTCCAACTGAGATTCGCATCTCTTCAAGGCAAGTGATGCTTTTTGAGAGATACGACTGAGCTGTTGGTATATCTTGATAACGAAAATATGTCACTGCTATGTTACAATAGTTCATACTTTTCGCTCTCACGTCTCCCATTTGTTCACAGATCTCAAGTGCTCTTTTAAAACAACTTAATGCTTCCTGAAATTTATTTTGAGACAAGTGCAACATTCCTAAGTTTTGATTTATGGTCATTTCACCCTCTTTGTCAACAGTTTCTTTTGAGAATTCAAAAGCCTGTTCGAAGCATTTCCTCGCCTCAGTATTTTCACCCAGTGAAGCTTGCACAGCTCCGAGGTTACCGAGAACAGTACCTTCTCCATCTTTGCTTCCAATTAGCTTTGTGATTGCCAATGACTTTTCTAAATACTTCTTGGCCGTAGTTAAGTCACCAAGAGATTGATAAACAGTTCCAAGGTTACTATTTATTACCCCTTCTTGCCTTATATCGTTGACTTCTTTGGTGATTTGGAGCGCCTCTCTGTAGTGCTCTATCGCTTTTTCATGTTCGCCAATAGTTTGTTCTAAAGATGCCAAATTGCCCAGGACATTTGCTTCAACCCTTCTGTCGCCAATTTCTTTAGTGACAGTGAAAGCTTTTTTGAAAAATTTATTGGCCTTCGCATATTCCCCATGATGCACACAAACAACTCCCAGGTGACTGTATGCTGTAGGCAATCCTTCTTTGTGACCAGTTCGAATCCTAATCTCCAGTGCTTTCTTGTGGTGCTCGAATCCCTTGTCATAATCTCCAAGATGTTGAAAAACAATTCCGAGATTGCCATAATCTACTCCTTGCCCTCTTAGGTGATTTGTTTCTAAGGAGATAGCAAGTGCTTGTTGATGACATTCTTTTGCTTTACCATAGTCACCGAGAGATTGATACAAAGTACCAAGGTTACAATATGCTGCCCCTTCCCCTTGTCTATCGCCAGTTTCTTTTTTGATAGCAAGTGCCCGTTCATAACATTTTCTCGCTTCGTTGTACTTGCCAAGAAGACAATAAAGGTCACCAAGTTCGCTATTTTCGGATCCTTCGTGTTTTATGGCACCTATTTCTCTGTAGATTTCGCACGCCTTTTTGCAAACTTTTTCAGCCTGTTTCAAGTCGTTCTGAGCGCGATAAAAACACCCTAGATCACTGTATACAAACGCTTCTCCTTTTCTATCACCTTGTTCTTTACTAATAGTGAGTGCCTTTTGGTAACATTCTTTTGCCTCTCGAAATTCCCCTAGCGAAATATGAGCATCAGCGAGGATTCCGTAATCTATGCTTTCTCCCCGTTTGTTCCCGTTTCTCACACTTTCTTTGAGTGCCCTCTGTTGCAATGTCTTTGCCTTTTGAAATTCACGAAGACTGTTGTACACTTTTCCAAGCTCGCCACAGGCCTCTCCAAGGTCTTTTATTTCACCGGCCTCTTCAAAGATTGCCATTGCTTCTTCATAATGTTGTTTTGCCTGTTGGTATTCTTCGGTTTTCTTGTAGAGTTTACCGAGACAGCAAAGTGCTCTTCCTTCTTCCTTTCTTTTACCTTTTTCTTTCCAGGTTGCGAGCGCCCTTTGAAAACAGTCCTTAGCTTTAGCGTATTCGAAACGAGATAACAACAAATCACCAAGTTGGGTAAGAAGCGCTCCTTCCATTTCCTTGTTACCAGTTTTGGTTGTCAATACCAGCATTTTGTTTAGATGTTCTCCTCGGTTGATAGCCAACACGTCAAAAAAGCTAGAGAGGAGCATCACTCTCGAGTGGAATGTGAATGCTTTCTCGTATCTTTCTTTGGCTTTAACATGCTCGCCAGTAAGCCTATACACGTCACCGATTTTCTCGAGCAAACCGGCTGCACCTTCAAAATCACCAATCTGTTCGTATAGAGGAAATGCCTTCTCGCCGTTGTGGATGGCATTCTCGTAGTCGCCAACTAGAAAGAAAATTTTAAACAGATTGCGGTAGATCAGAGCGTTAAAGTTGTCCAATCTGTTCTTCTTTAACTTTGAAGAATTCTTTTGCAGAACAACCAAGCATTCACTGAACAGTTTAATGGCTTTAGTGTAATGACATGTTTGAAGCAGAAACGATGCTACTGCAATGCCAATAAAGAGGGCTTCAAGAATCTCGTCGACGGTGTCCATAGCCGTTAAAACTGTAAGCCTGGTAACCTATCATAGATTATGATAAGAAAATTAGAATTAAAAAAA